TCACATGCGTAATACGTTTTAAAGAAGTGGACATTAATTTAACAAAAAATAGAAAATTAAACACTGGATGCATAAAGATTTCAAATCATTAGGACATTAACAAATCCCTTAGAAAAGAATGAAGGGTTCAAATCGACTCATGATAAATCCAATTTGGAAATTTAGAATTGCTTTATTTTCTTCAAAGGAAAAGCTTCGTGATGATACATCGTAGTAGATTGAGAAGATGAATAATACCTGAACCTGAACTGAGGAAGAAGGAAATACGATTCCGAATGACAGCAACTGTGTGCGGCTAGGGAAAAATATACTCCGTATGTATGGTCGTATGAATGGTTTTATTTTAGTTTATACTTTAGGTCTAAATTCCAGAAAATGCGCGGGAAATGGAAAAACTTAAATTTTCCTAAAACAATACATCTCGTGGCTAGTTATGGTTTTAAAATTTCAATTTCTATGTGAAGGCGGTTAAGGCCTAAGGGTTGGTTTGCAAAAGCTTTAAAAAAACACTTCTCAGCTTTTTTCTATAAAAAAGCACTTCTTTTACCAAACACTATAATTTATATTTTTCTCGGCTTTCGTGTCAAAAGTGCTTTTACTTTTTCTATTACATAAAAAACACTTATTTTACAAAACACTACCAACTTTTACTTTTCAAAATCACTTTTTTCTCAAACATATCAACTTTTATTTAATCACTTCTACCCATTTCATTAAAAAAGCACTTTTTTAAAGCAAAAGTTGTTGCAAACAGACCCTAAGGCGGTCATTTAGCCTATCTTTTTTTTTGGAAAAATTTAGCCTATCTTTTTATTTAACTATTTAAGATGTTTTCATTTGAACTGTTTTCAGTCGCAGACCAGATCAAATCAAACCAGATCAGATCAAACCAGACTTCCGTAGTTATAAAATACACAGAGACCACACGTTCACTAAACCATACTAAATAAGATCAGATCAGACCAGTAAATTTCAGTCCAAAAGAAAACATTCTTAATTATTAGAAGTATAAATTAATTAGGCGTATACTCTACAATTTCTCGTAAGAGCAGTTATTATAAACAGATTAGACGTATACAATTTCTTGTACGAGATTTACAATTCTCTATTAATTAGTACAATTTTAGATACACGATTATTGTATACTTTTATGTGTTAAATATTATCATTATAATTATACAAACAATAGTTTTAGAATATATTTTCTTGAAACGCCTTGCGATCCGTCAATTAGAAATCTCTCAGGAAATAAAAAAAAAGTAATAAAATGATAATGTTGTAGTTGATGAATTTTTTGTGAAATGATATTTTTCCATACGCCTTGAGATTTGTATGTAGAGTATTTTTGTGGGAAAAGTGTATAGTAGACAAAATATTTTTTTGTGAGGAAAGGAAACTTCTAGCTACAAAGAACTTTTGTATGAATAGAAATATTTGTATGGAAAATACAATCCGGACAAAAAAAAAAATTGTGGGGAAAAGAGGTATTTAGCTACAAATTTAACTTTGTATGGACGATTTTTGTGGGCTAAGCAAAATTTTGTAGTAGTGAATGTGATCGTGGTACTTTCTGTTCTCCTGAGTATGTGGGCCCTGGGGTCCAGGCCCATATACTCCATCAACAAATAATTTTTTCACATAAACTATTATACGCAAATTAAAGTTTTTTTTACGAAAATGAGAAGGGGCGCAACCAAGGATGATGTAACAAGAAAGATAAGAAAGATGATGACTACTAGAAGGAGATGTGTAGCTGTTCGTATACCGTGGGATCATCCCACAGTTAGCACCATGCTCCACTCCCAAAACGACGTAGCTTTGCACAATTTTATTTAAAAAAATCGCATGAACAGTACACGCGTGAATAGTACACGTGTGTACAGTAACGATTTTTTCATTCTTTTTGTCCCTGTAGCATGAATGATGTAACTCGCGTGTAAAGATATGTAACTTACTTTATTGATCAATGTAACTCAAGTGCATTCGAAATGTAACTTGTCGAATACATGGTATTAGAAATACAATATCGATTTCAATGTAAACAATGAAAAAAGAGAGTCTAATTGCACAATTTCTTTAGGTAATCCGTAAATATTCTTTGTTTTAAATATCATGACCATAAAAAATATTTTTTTAGAAAAGATCTTTTTTTTTGTTTCAATATCAGGGGTTGATTTTTTAATGTAACTCATGTTATTACAAATGTAACTCACGTTGATGACAAATATAACTTAGGTGTATACAGAATGTAACTTGTTGGAAAATTGAACAATTTTTTGTGTGTGTTTGAGAATAATATATATATCGTAGACATTGATTTCAATGTAAACAATGAAAAATTGATCCTAATAGCTTAATTACTTTTTTTAAATAGTGATTATGTTTTATTTTTAATATTAGGGCTATAAAAAGGATATAACAGGGGTTTCTTATATTCCGTGGTGTAACTCGCATACATTAAAATGTAACTCGCGTATAATACGATGTAACTCGCGCAGAAGAAGATGTAACTTCATGATATATTATCAAATGTAACTTCAAGAATCAAAATAAACAAACTGAATTTCTTAAAAACCTCTAAAAACATATAAAGTGAAAAAATTATATTATACTACCTCCGTTCCACTAACATTGGGACGGAAGAAGGTAGCACGGTTATTAAGAAAAATGAGTTTATGTGGTTGATATTGAATTCATAAAGTAAGAAGGATTAAGAGTCACACAAACTTTACCAAGTATGATATGAGACAATCTTAGTGAGATTTTCCGAAAAGGTAAAATGAGACAATCTTAACGGGGCGGGGGGAGTAGAAAAATTGTCCATATAAAAAAATATTACAAAAAAGTGTATGAATATTAAAAGTATATTACAAAAAAAGTATATGAATATAAAAAATATTACAGAAACAAAAATAGTGTATGAATATGAAATGCAACATAGTTATTTTATTTAGATTAAAAAACTTTTTGTTATGTATTGATAAAGAATAAAAAAATAGATCCAAATATAATTTAAGATGAAGATAAAGAAGAGTAGGATTGTCATTAATTTTTTAGTATTTTAATTTGATGGAAAAAGAAAAGAATTGAACAAAAGAAAAATAAAGAAAGAAAAGCAACAAAGAAAGAATGAACGTTGCTCCAGGAAGAAAGAAAAGTGAAGACACTTGAATTGCCTAAAGTGGGACCGACACACCATGTTCAAGGTGGGTCGATCCCACGGTATAATTTGCGGATGTGTAGTTGATGACAAACATCTAGGTGAGAGAATTTAGGTTAGAAGTATATTAGGCTAAAGTCATTTGAAAATTGATGTTTTCAATTTTTATGGGATAAGGGTCAGATAGGGCCTCGAACTTACAAAAAAATGTAAAATAAGGTCATATGTAGGATGCTCTGTACGTCTGACGCCATTTGGGCTGTTTCCCAGTTAAATTTTTCGATGAAATTTTTTGAGCATCTTACTCATTAAGTCTAGTTTACTAATATCAAATTTGAACTAAAAATTCAATCGGGAAGACATTCAAATGAATTCTTGAAACTAACTGCGCAGTTAAAAGCGCAATTATCTTCAAGAATTTATTTGAATGCCTTCTCGATTGAATTTTTAGTTCAAATTTGGTATGACTAAACTAGACTTAATGAATAAGATTGTCAAAAGAAATCATCAAAAAATTCCATCCGCAACCACCCCAAATGGCATCGGCCGGACAGATCATCTTATATAAGACCTTATTTGACATTTTTTGTAAGTTCGAGGCTCTATCTGACCCTTATCCCCCATTTTTATTTTCATATTTAATCCCCACCATTAATGTTCAAAATAATATTTCGTCTCGTTCTGTTTTAGTTGCAATATTCACATTTTCATGCTTACCAGTTACCAATGCACAATTTTGACCGTCATTATATTTAATTCTCTATTTGTAAATTTATTTTAAAAATCAGATTATGAAACTTCGTAATTAGAAGAATTCAACAATATTTTTCAAAAAAAAATTCACATACATTGATAAGTAAAATGTAGTCAAAATAGAGTACATGACTAGTGTGTAAGTTCCAATGTTACAACTATTATGATACGAAGGATAATATAATTTATAATCCACACCATTTCTATTTGCACACAAAAATTGTACAACCTTGATAAACTCTTTTGTGTATACAGACGTGTCGTTTAGAAAACAAAAACAATTGTTTATGTACATAGTCGAGTAAATAATGTACGCATGCAACTCATTTTGATAAAAACATCAATAATATAATTTGTGTACACAAGAGTGTCTAATGTATACAAATTTTGCGTACATTTGTATATTTTTATACAAAAGATCCCACTACAAACAAGCAACTACTTACAATTGACACAACTCGGGTAATTTAAACGACGTTCTCCGATCCGCTGTGAAGTTGGTTTCCTTATAAGAAACGTTGGTAAAGACTAATCTTAAGAGGTAGGTGACAACTCCGATACCTTTCTAAAAAAATGGGGTATCGTACGTATCGTTCATTTCATTGGATCATATCACTTTATCTTTTTTAATTTAGATTTAAATAATTCAACCGTTACATTCTCATTGGTCCATGTGGACAAATGTATGGTACCTTATGAGTATCATAGAATCTACCATCTTACAATTAGGAACACGTTTTAGGGGGTTTTTGGAACTGATTCTGCTTCTGCTTCTTTTTTAAAGCAGAAGCAGAATCAGAATCAGTTTTCAGAAGCTGGTCACCCCCAACTTTTAGAAAAACTGATTCTGGGAGTAAATTAGAGCACCAGAATCACTTCTTCACTTTCACCCAAACACTCCAATTGAAAGAGTAGAAGCAATGGATTTTGAGGATTTTCCCCATTTGGTCCGACCATTTTGTTTGCAAGCTAAGGTAAGAAAACTCATACATAAGCAATGGACACATGGCCGGCCGGAGATCGTCTAGCTACATAGATTAAATCCATCTAGAATCTCATACACTCTTTAACATCAACTTCTCTCTAGATAATTAATTACTCAACCTGCCCATTCCATTCGTCCGCTCCACCATACCGTATATATATTAATCATCTTGATTAGATTATTTGAACATTATATATATAGGTTGCGTAATTAGTACCAGAAACAAGCAAATGAGCAGCTAGCTTAGCTTTATCAGATAATTATACCAGCGGTTATATTAATTTCTGCATTGAGAATATTGATAGATCATCAGATGATGAAGGGTGCTGCGGCTTCTTCAATAGCCTCAATAATCAGAATAACCAGTTTGGTTTTCTTCGCCGGTTTCTTGATTGTCTCCGCCGTGCTTCTTCTCCGGCCATCTTCTTCCCTTGACCGTATTCAAGAAGCAGGCTCGTCGTCTCTTATATGCTCGCTCCGTGAATGCCATCGTAAGGTAATTAGGTGAGCCAAATTACTGATTAATTAATTAATTAACATTACGTAGTTAGTAAAAGTCCACAAGATCGATCAGAAATGATTAATTAATATAATCGATCAATACGTAGTATATATTTGATTGATCGAAATGTTGAAGTACTCATGAATTTATACTTCAACTTTTCTACATATATAAAATGTATTAATCACAATAACTCAACCTCAAAACGGTTCAAGTCCTAGCAAATCGGATCATATTTTTATCATTTATTGAGATAAATTTTATTACATACGGAGTGCAACTTTTCTTAAATTATTAATTTGATTTTTTTTCAAACATGCGAAAAAATTCAGAAATAGGATCGAAGTAATAAGGCTTTAGCATTCCCTTATACCACTATGAGTATTATGTTTCTATTCTCTAAATATATGTAATTAGAAAAATATTACTGAATCATATAAGACTTAACAATAAAAAAATATATAAAAATTTGTTTTGAAATTCACAAACGTTTTAAAATTGATTTCTTTTTTATATTATTATTTTTATTATTTTTGTTAATTAAAAACTACGCTTCACTTTAAAGGTAGGTCAAAAGTGACATGTTGTCGAACATGAGAACCAAACGGTTTCAATATGTGACGGCGACCATTTAAATTGGATGAGATTGCTTTATTTATCGTCAAATAGTAAAAGTGTAAAACACCCGAGTGAATTCCCTAAATATGAGTAAAAAAGTTTTGAAATTCCAAAATATGAGTAACATGTTTTTTAATTCTTGAATAAGAGTAAATTTTTGCAAAGTTTGGCATTACTAGGCTTTAAAACATGACATTTTTTCTAAACTTGACAGGTTACTCCTATTCAGGGAATAAAAAACATGATACACCTATTTTGGAATTTCAAAACGTTTTTGCTCCTATTTAGAGCAATTTCTATTCAATATTCAAGTAGAGATTTTTTTTAAAATAAATGGGATTAGTTAAGACATAGCATTTGATTAAATATGAATTGGGGCTGGGATCTTTATAATTTTTTTAAAGTGTTCTCTTTACTTCTTAAAGAAGAAGGTGAGTGTTGGGGGTGTTAGACATATAACAATAAATATATAATGGTTGATGCACAATAAGGCTCACTTAATGCACTTTTTCGTGTTCGGCATAATATTACCAGAATGTCACTATGATTATTTATATTGGCCTTTTTGAGCAAAGTCAAAATGTGTACCAGACGGGCTCTATCGTGTATCACATTGGATTAATTGTGAGTGTTTTCAGGTTTCAACGTTAAACATCATTCTCATTGGAACGACACCCTATGTTAGGTCATTGTTGATAGTTGATGTAGTCAAGGTCAAACCGTCATTTTTTGTCTTAAACCTCATTTTTGAACACTCCTTTGTTTTACTAATACTTTGGGAATATTTCCTATAGAATAATACTTCTCCTTGTGCAGCTGTGCCGTATGTTTTACTTCTATTTAATTAATTTGATTGAAGATGTGTTTAACAGGCGGGAAGGTGACGGGATACAGATGAAGGCATTATTGGGAGAACCGGGAGGGAATGGAACAATGATAATGCCGGAGAACAAAACAGTGAAGCCAGAGATGCCGAGCTTCTTGAAAGAAATAATGGCGGCGAGCGAGACGAAGAAGAAGACGAAAAAGATAGGGATGGTGAACATGGATGATCAGGAATGGAAAGTTACCGGCGAGGAAACAATAATCCACGTTACATCGGAGAAGGTCTCGGAGCTCTTAGAATGGAAAGATTTGTATCCGGAGTGGATCGACGAGGAGGAGGAGATGGACGGCGGCTCATTTTGCCCGGAGATGCCAATGCCGGAGTTCTCAAACTACCCCTACATTGACTTAGTGGTGGCGAAGTTGCCGTGCAGCACCAGTAAGAATTCATCGAGGGATGTGCTCAGGCTGCAACTTCACCTGATCACGGCCAACTTAGCGGTGAAGCGAGGGAGGAGGGATCGGCGGAGGCGGGCGAAGGTGGCGGTGTTGAGCGAGTGTAGGCCGATGGTGGAGCTTTTCCGGTGTGATGACTTGAAGAAAAGGGAAGGAGATTGGTGGTATTTTGAGGTGGATGTTCTCAAATTGGAACAAAAGGTTTCTCTGCCTATAGGTTCATGCAACCTGGCTTTGCCTCTTTGGGGAAAAGGTACTTGCATTATTGTTCTATCTTGCATGCATGTGTTGCACATGATTTGTTGTAAATAAATTAAAGTCATCCCATAAATAAAAGTATCCTTGTTTTTTGTTACTTTGTTTGATTCATTCACTTATAAAAGAATGTAGTTATTTCGTATTTTCTTCTCAATGAAATATTTAATGTTGTTCCTAAATTTTAAAATTTAATCACTAATTAATAAGAACTTAAATATTATTAGAGCATGCATACTCAATTTTATCAATCAAATATGAAATATCTGTTAGAATGCGTAAACTTAATTTTGGGCTAAGTTAATAATTGATGTTTCTTGTAATGGGCAAAGCCCAAAATAATTAGGAGTATTCTAGAGAGAAATGTTCTAGAAAGTTTCTAAAGTGTGAGACTTCTAGAGAATAAGTAATAATGCAATATTCTAGATAAGGAGAATTCTAGAGAACTCTCCACCATTTATTGTGGATGTGAGTAGTATAAATATGTGCAGTTGTGCTCATTTGTAATCAAACATCAAGCTAAGAAATCTTCAAGCAATAAAATACAAGTTCTCTCTTCTTCCATCCTCTTCTAATTAGCTAAAAGTTTTTCCTAGTTACACAATTATCTTCATAACGTCCTAAAATACTTAGCCTCTACCTCTAATATTCTAACAATATCAATAATCAAATATTTAATTAATTAAATTGGTGATACTACTTTTGTTGATATGAAGAGAGTAGTGATAGTCCCACATCTCACAATTAAGTTCACACTTTAACTTTTGAGTCAAACTATGTTAACTTTGACTAATAATTATTCAAAATCCGTATTATTTTACAATACCCGTAGTGAAAATCACGTTCAAAACTGCATGGACTGACTGTTATTTCATAATAAAGAAGCGCATACAGTTTAGTGAGTCATTTTACTTTATTCCATCATATTGTAAAGCCATTCTGAATAATTCATTTTAATATATATTATTGAAATGGTAGATTATTATAAATTGATAAAATAGTTTTAAGTTTACAACTTGATTCCAAAAGATTAGGTGATTGAGGTCTCACCTCTACCTAATGGTTAGTTGCCTGACGTTGACTTTGACTAATTGAACTAATGTCCAAAATTGATAACTAGACTGGTCCCTATTAACAAGTAACAACTAATTACTACCAATTCAATAAAGTTGCGAAAAATAGGAATAATGAGAAGCTACTTGTAAAAAATGATATTCCGATTCTGAAGGAAGAATTGACCTTCAGGGGGCTATGCATTGGTACGTAGAAACACATTAACATACAATAAAGTAAAACTACAAAAATGTACTCCCTTATGAAACCATCATTATTTATAAACAAAGTAAAAATACAAGCAAATTTTTTAAATAAGAGTAAAAACGTTTATGAATTTCAAAATAATAATGTTATGTAGGATAGTATTTATTATCTAAATAGAAGTAATTAATTTGTCATTTAAATATTATCAGACTTTAAATACAACATTATTTTCCAACTTAACAATAATTAATTCTATTTAGAGAATAAAAAATAACAATTTTATTCTGGAATTCCAAACCGTTGTACTCCTGTTATGGGAAGTTTGGTCGATTTTCGCAAATACATTAAAGTTTGCTATTATTTGTATAGTAGCAGAATAATTTAAACACAGAGTTTTATAAGGAAAATTCCCGAAATATTAATAAAAATGTTTTAGAATTTCTAGATATACTTATTAAATAGGAGTATTCACTACCAAGTTTGATAGATATTGTCATGTTTAAAGTTTGATAATGTAAAAAATAGCAATATTGCCCCTATTTCGGAAATAAAAACTTTTAGTTTTATTTTGAAATTCACAACGTGTTTACTCATATTTATGACAAATTTTTAATATTATTAATTAACGACGTGAATGTACATTACAACGAAAGATACCATATCATTTTCCATTACCAACTTGTATTATTCAAAAAGAGAAAGTGAGAACTTCTTTCAGCACGAAAATAGTATATCATATTCATATTCTTAATCCAAATGAAGTATTTGTAGGTTTGAATTGTTTAAATTATACTCTCTCCATCCCATAAAATTCTTCCCACATTTCTTTTTGAGCCGTCCCAAAAAATTCTTCCCACTTACAATTTTTGGACAATTTATGTGGTTCACATTCATTTCACATTTTTCTTACATAATCACAGTCACATATTTCCACTTTATTCCACTTTCTTAATATCCGTGTCAAGTCAAAGTGGAAGAATTTTGTGGGACGGAGGTAGTAATAGTAATAAGGCAATTTATCAATGATGGACTCAAAAATATCATCAACTTCAGAACACGAAAACAATAGACAAAATGACAAGTTTTTAAACGTGCGATTAGTATTAAACGTGCCTTTTAACCAGAAAAGCCTGATTAATGAAGACGAGTTTTTAATTTGCTACAGGTATAGACGAAGTTAACGATATTTCCAGGCTCGGCCAAAGCACGAAGCAAATACCCACACGAGAAGCATACGCCACTGTCCTCCATTCCACCGAAGCCTACGTTTGTGGGGCAATAACCCTCGCCCAAAGCCTCCTCCGAACCGGAACCAAACGCCACCTTATCCTCCTCCTGGACAAAAGCATCTCCCCATCCAAACGCAACGCTCTCATCAAATCCGGGTGGAAGCTCCGATTCATCAAGAGGATCCGAAATCCCAGATCCGAGAAGGGCGCCTACAACGAATACAACTACAGCAAGTTCCGGCTATGGCAGCTCACCGGCTACGAGAAGATCATATTCATCGATTCCGACATCATCGTTCTCCGCAACATCGATTTCCTCTTCGGATTTCCTCAGATGTCCGCCTCCGGGAACGACGGATCTATATTTAACTCCGGCGTGATGGTGATAGAGCCCTCCGACTGCACGTTCCAAATGCTGATGCAGCGCCGGGAGGAGATCGTCTCCTACAACGGCGGCGACCAGGGCTTCCTCAACGAGGTGTTCGTCTGGTGGCATAGGTTGCCGAGGAGGGTGAATTTCCTGAAGAACTTCTGGTCGAATTCCTCCGCCGAGTCCGGATTGAAGAACCAGCTATTCGGGTCGGATCCTCCCGAGCTTTATGCCATACACTACCTAGGGCTGAAGCCGTGGCTTTGTTACAGGGACTATGATTGCAATTGGGATATTGAGGATCAGCGCGTGTACGCTAGTGACGTGGCGCACAGGACATGGTGGAGGCTCCATGACTCCATGGATGAGAGCTTGCAGAAACCTTGTGGATTATCAGAGCAGAGGAAGATTGAATTGGAGTGGGATAGGAATGTGGCTAGGAAATTGGGGTTACAAGATGAGCATTTGAACATCAATGTGACAGATCCTAGAAGATTTAACTGATGATTGTGCATTTTGCTGCAACTTTTGGAGTTCTTTTGGAGTTCTACTTTGGTTATGGTTTATATTTACATAACATACTACTAATATGGAGTATTGTTTTCATCAACCTGGTTCACAACTTCACACAATATATTGCAGAGATGAGTAGCTTGGAGTTCAGTTTTTAGCATTTATTGTTTTTTACATAACATCTTCATTCAAGCTATTTTAATAAACGATCACATCATTGTTGTGGTAAATTTCGAATAATCTCAAAAGTTCAAAATTCTTTATAGAAATAATTAGTTTTTCAATGAGATGAATTAAATATACTTCACAAAGAGTGTAATTATGAATTCAATTATTATCATTATGAACCATTTGTAATTAACACTTCATGAGAATGACGACTGTCATTATCAAAGTAATTACACATTACAATCACTTATCTGAGCTTCATGAAGATGACTGGTCTTTACTTTCGGTTTTTGAAATGGATCTCAAAATGTTTTGTTACGAAAAGGATCACACCGGTTCCAAACAATGCCATGACGGGTTCTCATTAAATGAGAACCGATACCGGACCGAAGTATGATTTAATTATTTAAATTCGTACTACTATAGTTCATCTGAAATTCATTAATTACTCCATCGGACCAAAATTGATTTGTAAATCCAACATTTTTTGGTCAACCAATGCTAATGTTAAGTTCTCCATATTGATAATTAATACTACTTCCTTTCTTAAATAAATGCAACACTTTGACTTTTACACTATTCACATGTTCTACTTTGATTACGTTTTATTTATTAATCTAATAATATAATTTTATGAAAAAAATATTGTAAAACTTGTCTCATTGTAAATTTTCATAATCTATTTTGTTTTTAATTTTTTTACTAATACAAAATCATTTATATTAATGGTCAAAGTTGTGTCTTGACAAGTGTGAAATGTTGACCGTTGCATTTATTTACTACCATCGTGAAATGTTGATAATTTTAAATAATTAAAATTTATATATTTAGAAACCGCACCAAAATCTCTTTAAAGTTGCTAAACCAGAATATAATTAAAAAGTGATATCCTAATTAAGTGAATAAAAAGAAACTATTTGACCAAAAAAAGCTTGACTTCGCAAATCAATTTGGGACGGAGGTCGTTTGAAATATGAAAAGTGATAAATTGTGTGGAGTTTGGAGTTTGGCTAAAACTTTAATTTTTCCTTAAACACTTGGAAAAAGGGGCATTGTTTGGTATTGGTATGACATACTGGCATGGTACCGTCTCGTTTGAAAATGGAACCGTACCGTACAAGTTTAGGTCTAATACCGAACCGAACTGTTTCAATATTCACGGTATTGATATGGGTTCGACAAAATATTAGACCAAATCTGATCAAGTTATAGGAGGGCAATTGCCCCCTTAAGTCACGATACATGAACCCGGTTAACGGAACTAACGACCGTCAAACTTGCTCCTTTGAATTAATTTTATTTATTTATTAACTAATTTTGTAAAATAGTTGAAATATAGGAAGAACTATCAAATAAGTCCTCGAACTTTCATAAAAAGTGCAAATAAGTTTTTTTACAGGAGGCTTTGTCCGGCTGCCGCCATTTGGGGCGGTTTCCTGTGAAACTTTTTGATGCAATTTTTTGAGCATCTTCTTCATTATGTGTAGTTTATCCATACCAAATTTCAGCAAAACATTCAATCGAGAAGACATTCAAATGATTTTCTGAAATATACTAGCTGCGCAGTATCTTAAAAAATTCATTATGTCTAGCTGCGCAGTATCTTAAAAAATTCATTTGACTGTCTTCCCGCTTTAATTTCTACCTGGAATTTGGTTTGAGCAAACTAGATTTAATGAAGAAAATGCTCATAAAATTTCATCAAAAACGTCCACAGGAAATTGCCCCAAATAGCGACGGCCAGACAGAGACTCCTATAAAAAGGCTCATTTGCACTTTTTATGAAAGTTTGAGGGCTTATTTGGTAGTTCTACCTTGAAATATATGAGATTACTCCGTATTAGGATCAGAGCCTATTTAATATGGTAAAATCAAAGTAGGGTCCTTTAAAGCACTTTATATTTTGATATAAATATGCTACCAAACCCGTTTGGTAACATATGGTTCTAGTTATTAGTCAATCTTTTTGTTAAACTATTTTAAATCAACTATTTTAGATAAATTATTTAATAATTAAAATGAGTGAGGTTGAAATTATTTTTCTGATTAAATTGACTCAAAATTTTAAAGCCAGCAATTTTAGCATTTTCATCCGACTTTTTCTTTATAATATATACTACATCAGCCCTCCTAAAATTGAGATAAGAGGGAGTAGTGTGTTTATTAATAAAATTGTATGACTAGTATTAAATTGATAAAATGTGAATAAAATAAGAAATAATCATAATCGTCCAAATATTAACAAATATGATATGCCACAAATTTATAGAGACGGATGGAAAATGTAAAATGAGACAAAGATAGGAGACGTAGAGAATATTAATAAAAATATATTCTATTTTAATTTCTTTGTAATTCAATAGATTCAATTAATTGAGTCACTTTAGTCAGAATTTGATAAATTTCAATACATTCAACTGATTAATTCAATTTCAGTGTTACCAAGTGAGCTCTAATCACAATACGGAGCAATTCATTTTTAATTGCTAATACAAATACTAAATGTGTTAATGTGAGGCTCTTTAAAGTATAATGCTTCAAGTGATTGTTTCGGGATAGTAAGAGGGCCTATTTGCCTTTTCCCGAAAATATGTTATATTTTACCCTTATTTATTTCAATACAAATATAAGTATATTAATGATTACAGGTATTTGTATTGCAGAATGCATCAAATCACATCTAGAAAATAAATATGGAGATATAGGAACTATGCAAGTATGCAGTACACACGGTTAATTTTCATTTTCTACACACTTAAAGTAAATTTGAATAAATATAAATATGGTATTTTAAAATGTAAGTATTACTCCGTATCTTTTTTCCATTGAATATGCAAAATATGATAATATAATTTCACAATTTCATGGTAATAACTTATTCATATTTAGAATTAGGAATTTTATCAATTCAGGACCCAAAAGATAGACGAATTATCAATCCGGGGCCTGAAAGATGAAATGCATCAATATAGGACTCGAATGATGAAAAACTATCAATTTAGGACCTGAATGATTGAAAACTATTACTTTAGGACCTAAGTTGTCATAAATTTTATTTTATTTTATATTTTAAATTTTTTAAATACTATTTAGTTTTATTTAACTAATGAACTTTTGTGAAGAAAAGTTTATCAAAAATTAGTAATGGAATTAATAAAAAATTAAATAAATCAAAATCTATGGAACATTAGGTCCTAAATTGATAGTTTTCCATCATTCGGGTCCTATACCGATATGTTTCATCTTTTGGGTCCTGAATTGACAATTAATCTATCGTTCGGGTCCTAAATTGATAATTAATCTATCTTTCAGGTCCTAAATTGATAAAATTCCTAAATACGAGTAAAAATGGAAAAATTTCCAAACTAGTAGTAAAAATAGTTTAGAATTCCAAATTATGACTGCTATATTTTTATTTCCTGAATATGAGTAATTAACGTCAAGCTTGAAATACTACTATGTCTAAAATGTAGTACTGTTAAAACATGACATTAATTACTTATATTAAAGGGGAATATTTTGGAATATATATCCCATTGAGATAATTTTCCAATCCATAATCTTATTTGGGGAAAAGTCTTACTCCCCCAGTCTCAAATTGTAAGATACATATCTTATTCACTTGGTCAACACAAATCACTCTTAATTTCTTATTTTATAAATCAATTTTTTATCAAATTTGATTCTGGTTTTTGCGACTTCGTAAAACTTTTAATATAGTTTCTGAAGATGATTTTTTTTTTCAAAAAATAATTCTAGTGCGAACAAGGATCCGTTTGTTTTATTGTCGATAAACACATAAAGCGTAAAATATCTTAAAAGTTGGGAGGTAGGGAGTATAATTCATCAAACAGTAGACGCACTACCAATGATCCTGTTATTCCTGTGCTGTTTTAAAATCACATACTGTGATTTTCAAATTCAACAAGGGTGAAAAACATTTTCTGGACATTATTCGGATCGATGCCCGAGAGGTATAATAAAAACAAAATTACGCAACAAGACAATAACAGAAATGGAAAACAGCCGGTGGTGACTCCGCAGGGGTACGCTCATGTGCATCCCACCCACGTGCACTCCCGTGTTTCCTCTTTTAATATTACGGAGTATTGGTCTTCTCTGTCCCGGATTTCTTTTCATATTTTAGGCACCACCTTCCAACTTTCACCCAGTGACTTCATTCTCTCACCTTCTTTCTTCCTACAAAAAATATTAGTTTTGCATAATCGAAAAGAGAATCAAAGACGGATTCCTTTCCTCCCAAACAATTAGAATCTTTACTTCTGTGTGGTGTTAATTCTAGTGATTCCTGGTATGTTCTCTTATCTCTGTTTTCCTTCGTCTCTGATCACCTTTTCCCTTTTTTTTTCGTTTTTATCCGCAGATGTTGAAGAATGATTTTCTGTTAACCTCTCTTTTTGTAATTACTATGTATATATGTGTGTGTGTATGTATCTTAGTAGTTGATCTTAATCTTTCTTATGGTTAATCTTCCTATTTGGAAAACAAGTCAGAAAGAGGCTAGTTTTATTTGAATAGTTTGATTTCAGAAAAGCTGGATGGTAATTCAACCTCCTTTTTTCTTGTTTGCCTGCTCTGGGAATTTTGATTTGGTGTCAGGGAATTAATTAATGATGATGTGGGGAACAGCGAAAGTTATCATCTTTAAAATTGGGTGGCCAACTTCAATTTGCAAAATTAAATGCTGTGACCAGACAGATATGGTCATATGAAGGATCCATCCTTATTCGTAGATGTTTGATTATTTATTGGGTATTTATTCTACTGCTTCCACTTCCAAATATTTTTCTGAAATAAAGCCATTTGAATCTCCCATGCAGAGCTTTTTTATACAAATTGTATTGGGAGAGAGTTTGTTTAATGGTGTACACAATGGTGTAATTTCCAAATGGTGACCTTGCCTGAAGTATAAACTGAGCTGGATTTTTGCACAAAATCTTATAGTGTATAATCAAAATCTTTCATATTTCGGGTTAGCCGGGGCCTAACATGATCCTCTTACCCACGCCTCGTGACCTAGCTTACACCTCTTTTTCCTTATTAGTTTTGAACAGAGTTCCTTAGGGTATCTTTAATGAGAGAGATAAGTTAATAAGATCATGGATATAACTAGTTATTTCGAGCTCGTGTGGTAGCACTGAAATTGACTGAATCAGTTGAATCTACTGAAATTGATGATGTTTTGGCTGAAGTGGATGAATGGGCTGAACCTGTTGAATTATGGAAAAGTTATATTTAAAATATGGTGATCATTAATACTAGCTTCACTTTGTTGTCTATTGGAGACTTTTAAATTAATACCATTAACATTAATACTAAACTCTCATATTTTTTTATAAGCTGCTGATCATGTTCAAATTTTATCATAGCTTCAGTTTGATGTCTATTGGAGACTTTTAAATTTACTAGCATATTTTACAATTCAATGCCTTCTTCCAGTCCATTGCCACCCTTCTTTTTCAGCTTCTACTATGGACTAAGTTTGCTGTGTATAATCACATTTAGCTGATCAGCTCTCATTTTCAACCTTATAATATATATTTGTTGCTTTATACACATGAATCAACAATGGTTTCTACCAATATGCAACTCTGAAATTGAAAACTCCAATGGTTTCTACCTATATGCAACTCTGAAATTGAAAACTCCAATGGTTTATGTGTTCGAATTCCTCATAGAAAATTACAGAGAGAATGGTGGTTTAACCCAAATGCTTTGACACCCATTTGAGTGACCCCAAACTAAGCCTCATTCGAGTAATATCCAGATTCTAGAGAAAGAAAGTAAAGAGAGCTAGAGACTGAACGTTATGTGTACTAATGATTAGAATGTTAGAGCTTGAATGCTTACTACAATCCCAACGTGAAATATATATAGGCATACAATGATCAATGCCAATGGCGTGTGTCCTTGCAAGGGCGGGGAATCATGAGTTGACGGTTTCCCATGAATCTGATGCTGAATTGTTGATGCATGTCCTTTAGCTAGTTCTGGTCGCTCTTGGTAAATGTCATTGTACTAAGTCTCATATCTGTTGCCCGATGAGAGACCTGGTGAAAGGACATGCATCAACAATTCAGCATCTGATTCATGGGAAACCATTAAACTTGCCCCGAATGCGGGTTCCTGGGATCTCCTTGTGGTGCCTGGCCATACTTCTTGATGCCCCAATTCATAACGAGCCCAGGGGTCCAGGCCCATGTGATCTGTCACATATAATTTTCTATAAATTTGAAAAATTGCAACCATTAAACTTGCTCTTTATTTCCATTTTCAATTATTTGTCCTTTAACTGTATATGTATATCAGGATTCTGGTTGCAACTTGATTCATAACAGACGCCTCTTGGATGGAGGATGAGAAAGTGGAGCATTTGAAATATGAGGAACTTGAAGAAGAGGATCACCCCTCTCCTTCAGGTAATTTGATCCCAACATCTTCAGTCGAAGAAAATGACACAGATAAAATATCTCAAAGCTCCATGCTTGAGCAGGAAGCATTACTTCCATCCACAGAGAATCTAGAATGCTTATCTAGTAATAGTTCAGACGTGCTGAAACTTCCAAAAGAATCTATTTTGCCAGATCAGCCAGAAACAATAGCTCACATTGCCTCAGAGTTATCTACAGAAATAACTTCTTCTAAATGTATCACAGATGTTGCCACCACACTTTCCATCCCATCCCATAGCGCAAGAGAGTCTGAGGGAGACAATAATAATACAAAAATCAGAGACCATGATGAGTTAGAGGCTCATAGCAGTAGCAGAAGTGATGGCGCTGATACATCATCCCATGAAGTGGAAGGGACTGAAAGTGAAAGTTACTCAGAAAAAAGAAAAAGTGTTTCTTCTGAGGTTTCTAAAGAAGCTACCAGTCCGAGTAGTGAAAATGCTCCCATAAATCGGGGTCAAATTGACACAACGGCACCTATTGAATCAGTGAAGCAAGCTGTTTCTAAATTCGGTGGTATTGTTGACTGGAAAGCTCATCGAGCTCAGACTTTTGAGGTATATATAGAACGTTTCTTCTAGGCTATGCTTGGAAAGCTGTATAAATATTAAGCAAACAAGTTCTTTTCCCCAAGAAACACTCACAACTATATCATTAAATGGAAAAATGGAAAAATTGTGACTCTTAATATGCAAAAAATGGAAAAATGGCAAAATGAAAAAATGGATTTTGTTTACTCTTAATATGCAGTGACCATGGTGGTGTTTTGTGATAATGGTAGTGACCATGGTAATGTACAGATTTACATAGCAGCCATGACGATGGCGCGTTGGTGGTATAGTGATGACGTGTTAAGAACCTGTGTTAATGATCTCGTCCAGGGACGAGAGTGTTTCTGTAATTCAAAGGGAAGGTAAATGACTGGGAAGGAATCTATGATTTCTGAAGATTTGAAATCTTAAGTAGGAATTATATTGATGTCCAACCTAGTCAAGACACACAAAATTAATTCTTCCAAAATTTCCTTTATTGATAATAATGACCCTTATATAGAGGCTGATACAAGAGTCCTAAAGGCAATTAATAATTAGGCAGTTGCCTAAAACTGAAATAGGAATATTAGGATAACTAGGCAGTTGCCTAAAACTGAAATAGTATACTAGAATAATTAGGCAGTTGCCTAAAACTGAAATAGGAATAATAGTATAATTAGGAAGTTGCCTAAAAGTGAAATAGGAATAATAGTAATAACTAATTAGTAGTTTTCTTTCTATCTGCAACGTTCTGGGCTCATTCTTGGCCCTGTCGCCTGCTTTATTGTTTGTCCCAGAATGCATCCGTAACATGACGACGCCATGTTTTTGGGTACGGGTTCTATTTTAGTAACATTTGATGAAAATTCCATTTTCAGTGTGACAGTGTTTGGTTTTATGAGGAAAATGTGAAATTAGATCAAATATGATTACTTTTGTTTTTTAAACTAGCATATATTTGTATTTCATAGTTTTTAAATAATAGAAACATATAAATAAATTGAGTGGGAATGACTATCTAAAATTGATTTATTGAGCTTAATCCCATTCTTTATTTGTTTCCCCCCAACTCTTTCCCTTCCGAGTTTCCCATCTATTTTCCTCTTTGTTTTCTTTTCCTAGCATTTTCCGGGTTTCAAAGGGACCCCTCTAAAGTTTATTTGCCTGTTCTTTCTAATCTTTGGCGTCAACTAATTGATATGGTCAATTTGCAGAGACGGAAGATTATTGATCAAGAACTGGGGAAAGTGCAGGAGGAGATCCCACTGTTGAAAAAACAATGTGAGGCTGCCGAGGAGGCAAAAATGCAAGTCCTGGAGGATTTGGATAGCACCAAAAGATTAGTTGAAGAGCTGAAGCTAAACCTGGAGAGAGCACACACAGAGGAGCAACAAGCTAAACAAGATTCCGAGCTTGCAAGGCTGAGAGTGGAAGAGATTGAGCAAGGGATCACCAATGAAGCAAGCTTTGCAGCAAAAGTGCAGCTTGAGGTTGCCAGAGCACGGCATGAGGCCGCAGTTTCTGAGCTGGAAACTGTGAGGGCAGAGTTGGAGCAACTTCGTTCAGATTATGCCCTCGCTGTCTCTGAGAGAGATGAAGCAGTGAAAAAAGCAGAGGAAGCAGTTTCTGCATCCAGAGGAGTTGAGAAGACAGTGGAAGATTTGACTATTGAGGTCATAACCTTAAAGCAATCCTTAGAAGCAGCGCATGCTGCACATTTGGAGGCGGAAGAACATAGACTCGGGGCAGCCATGGCCAGAGAACAAGATATTCTTTACTGGGAGAAAGAATTAAAAGAGGCAGAAGAGGAGGTGGAGAAGGCAAACCAGCAGAATCAGTCTGTTAAGGATCTGAAATCAAATCTAGACACTGCTTCCTCTTTGCTGCTTGATCTTAAATTAGAATTCGCCACTTATATGGACTCAAAGAAGCTTCTAAAAACTGAAGAAGAATCCACTAGGAAGGAGCTCGAAGAGGTGAAACTTAACATAGATAAAGCAATGGATGAAGTTAACTGCTTGAAAGTGGCAGCTGACTCATTAAGGGCAGAACTACAAAACGAAAAGTCCGAACTTTCCGCCATCCAACAGAGGGAAGCCATGGCATCGATTGCCGTGGCATCTCTAGAAACCGAGCTACAGAGGACCAAATCAGATATCTCACTTGCACATATAAAGAAGAAAGAAGCCAGAGAAAGGCTCGTAAATCTTCCAAAGCAACTCCAAGAGGCAGGGAAAGAGGCTGACCTGGCAAAGTCACTAGCCGAAGCAGCACGTGAAGAGCTGAGGAAAGCAAAGGAGGAAGCAGAGCAAGCAAAGGCAGGAGCTAGAACTGTAGAGAGCAGACTAGTCGCTGCCCAAAAGGAGATAGAAGCTGCAAAAGCTTCAGAAAGATTGGCTGTCTTAGCCATCAATGCACTGCAAGAGAGTGAATCAGGTGCTCAACCCATCAAAGATCAGGATTCGCTGAAACAAGTGACGCTCTCTTTAGAAGAATACTATGAGCTGAGCAAGCAGGCACATGAGGCAGAGGAGGAAGCTAACATGAGAGTGGCTGCTTCCATCTCCCAAATTGAGGTGGCCAAGGAGTCGGAGTTGAAGAGCCTGACCAAGCTAGAGGAAGCTAACCGTGAGATAGCTGGAAGGAGGGAGAGTCTAAGGGCTGCATTAGAGAAGGCAGAGAAAGCCAAGCAAGGAAAGCTGGCTATGGAGCAAGAACTAAGAAGATGGAGGGCTGAGCACGAGGAGAGACGGAAAGCCAATGAACAGGTTAGGGTCATGAACCGGACCGTTAGCTCGCCACTGAGTTTTGTGGAGAGAAGTGAAACAAAAGATGCTGCTTCTAGCCCGAAAGAATCATCCGTGCAAGAAAGCAGCAATGGCATATCCGGTTCATCTCCTGAAGTGAAGACCTCAAAGAAGAAAAAGAAGTCATTCTTCCCAAGGTTCTTCATGTTCTTTATGAGAAAGAAAGTGGAGTCTAAGTTAGAATGATTAGTTATCTTAAAGATTAACTATCATAGTTTTCTTTGTACAATAATTGATCTTCGGGTACAGCATATGCCAATGCGGAACAATAGTAACTTTCGCATGTTTGGTGAGGATGATGGGGCAGTAAGTCACTCTTGTAATTACTTTGTGTTTGTTGTAATGTATAGTCTTGCTAGTTTTGTCAACGTATGAGAAGTATGGGTTACTTGTAGTTGTTTTTTTCTCACTGGAGTTGTGAAAGATGACTCACTTACCCTACAATTTTATATCATTGGGCGTGTCAATTGAATATGCACTTGATCAGATATGAATAATGTATGAGAAGTTTGAGTTGAACGTGCATATTCTGGCTGGTGTGCCTTGCGTGTTCTTAAGCCAAGATTTTGGAGGGGATGGAAGGGGCATTGATCGATTTTGTTTTACGAGTTTCCTTTATCTGTCTAATTAAGACTAGAAATAAGTCCATAACTATATGTTCAGTTAAAATAATGTAATTGTCTTTCATGGACCACTTTCTTTTCAACTATCTAAATTCTAAATCGTAACTCAGAAAAACCAGCACACCTCACTTCAAAAAATACCTCACCTAGCAAGCCCTTAGTTCATCCGTAAGATATAGGATGTTTTTATTTGGAATATTTTCAATTTCACACCAGATCAGGTCAGATCGGACTTGAATAGTTACAAAATACACAAAGATCAGACATCTACTAGACCACATCAAATTAAACCATAAAAATTCAGTCCAATTAAAAACAACCATAAACACAATCATCCACAAAACCATAATTAGTGGCAAATTTTAAAATTTCACCATATTTTATATGACTTAAAAATATTTATACATATAGATATAGGGAGCGGTTCCAGTGCGAAAGGATTTTCAAGAGAAAAATGAGAATGAATCTGAATCGTTGGATTGTACTATGTGAAACTCAATTGTGCGTTTGTGAAACTAAATGTGCAATCAGATGAAATTGAAATGTGCATGATAAATTGTAAAATTCAATTGTGCATTAAATAAAGTTGAAATGTACAGAATAAGACACATAAATGGTGCAAAACATAATTCTAAATCGTACATTTTATTTTACACATTTCAGTTTCACCCAATGCACAATTGAACTTCACATAATGTCATTGTATCATACTCTTTGTGTTGCATATTTCAATTTCACCTAATGCACATTTCAGTTTCAACTAGTACACATTAAATTTCATACAATACAATCTAACGACCTAGATTCATTCTCATTTCTCCTATGTGATACTACTAGAATTTTACTTATTTGGTGCTACCTAATTGATGCGATTCTTAGTTAAAACGAACAAAATACTCAAAATTTATAACTATTTGTCGCGGTCGTGGCATGACCGCATAAAAAAGTAAAAATTTTAACTTTTTGCTAGTATCTCGTAATTTTTTTTTTTTACTTTTTTGGTGCGAGTAAAGTGAACTGCAATCACTAATATAGAAAATCGCACTTATTTACTGCAGTCGTGCATGGTGGCGCAGCAAATACTCAGAAATCCGGCGAACAGATCTTCCTCCTTCGCTCAAAACAGATCTACCAGCGCACAAAACCCCAGCCCCCTCCTGGATACCAGCGCCGCTGCTCGCCTAACCCTCAGCCGTAGAGCATAGCCTCCGCCGCAGGTCCTCGACGCAGCCGCCGCAGGAAGAAGCCGCACGAAGTCGAGTCATCCCGCAGCCCAAGAACGCCCTCTTCGGCCGGCGTAGCTCCCTGCCGAGCTCCTCCCCGACGACGGCGCAAGACACCAGTTCACCCGCCAACTTCATCTTCTCTACAAGACTACAACTCAGTGTTATCTTTTTATTAAGGTTAGTGGTTATTAGGGAGAATTCCCTAAACAGAAGTACAATTTTTTGAAATTCCAAAATAGGACTATCATATTTTTTATTTCTAAAATAGGAGTAAATTTGTGACAAGTTTGACATTACTAGGCTTTAAAACATTACATTTTTTCCAAACTTGGCAGATTACTCCTATTCAGAGAATTCCTATTCAGAGAATAAAAAACGTGATACTTCTATTTTGGAATTTCAAAACGTTTTTATTCCTATTTAGAGCAATTTCTATTGTTATTAATTTAATTTTTTGATATTTTTGTTTAGTCCGGGTGTATTGAATGAAAATTGGTTTTATTGTTCTTTTTGTTATTTATTGTTTGAAATAAATTGAACATTGAATGAAAAAGTTGGAGAAATATATGATATATGTATGTTAAATGATGAAATAAAAAATACTTGTTATTTGCTATTAGATGAAATTTGTATGGGATACAAAAATAGTAATTTGATATATATTTTTTAATAATAATAAAAATGTGTAATACGGAGTACAAGTTATTGTAGTGTTTTTTTAATTACATAGATGTTGATATTTTGTTCTTAATTTATGCATTAATAATCTATATTTGACTTCTGCCTTCGCCTTCTGCCCGGGGTGACTCGTCTTCACTTGTTCAATGCTGCTTCGCCTTCTGCCCAGCGGATTCAAATGGTTAACCGGTTAAAATTTTATATTACTAATATCTTAGTATGTTGTACAAGATATATAATTTATTCTGATATCTTTTTGGGAAAAATCCTCTACTATTACTAGGGCATAGGATATTTCCATAAAAGTGACCATAGAAATTTTGGGCCTAAAAAGTGACGCCCAAGGTTATAGTTTAGGAATTAATTTCCAAAAATACGCAGCTTAATGATGTGGCTGGTCAAAAACGAAAAAACTAATAAAACGGCATTTAAGAAACAGCCGGTTGCGCCTGCAACTCCTTTAACCGCAAGAACAAACAGGACAAGGAAACCAAAGAAGAAGATCATCGCCGACTCGCCTAGTTAATTTTGATGTCTAAAGTATGCGTTAATCATTTCGAATTCGATAACTAGACATCAACACTTCTGCGAACATCAAGATGATCTGAGAATTGTAATTGTGAACATAATTTTTCATATTTTCGTTGAATTTTTCATAACTTTCCTTCTGAATTTCGATTTGAAAAAATTGCTTTGAATTAAAGTTTGTTTAGCATCATGTAACTGGAAACTGTGTTGTGTTTGCAGTGATTGATGTAGAACCGAGTACATAAATCGCATTGAAAATTTGATGTTGTGTTTACCGTTTTCTGAATTTCAATTCAATTCATCTGACTGAATAATTTCATATTCATTACATGTAGAACCGTGTAGATGTAATACATGTAATGATAAAAGTGTAACTGCAAAATGTAATATTCATTTTTTTCAATGAAATTTGCTTGCAGTTCCTTCGGAATTTTATTTGGAATTACTTGTCAGAATTTTAATTTGAAACTCTGTAGTGACAGTAATGTAACTGCGAACTGTATTGAGCTTTGTCTTTTGAAATTTTCTGTTTTTGATAATTTTCATTTTCAATGGAGTGAATGCTAGGCATGTAGAAAGATTTCCTCTAGCTTTACATGGTAATACTATAAGCCATATTAAGATATGAGGTAACTTTGAGTTACTATAAAAACAACTTATGTAATTGTGATGTTATTGTTTCAGTCTAAAAGAAATTGTAGTAACTGCAGTGATCTTATTGAACTTTCTCTTTGGTTTTAGTAACCGCTAGGCATGTAGTAACTGTAGTGTAAAAGAAATTATTTTCCTTGCAACTCTATTTACTTAATAACAAATTCCAGTTCAAGACCAAAACGTCACATCCTGATGTTATTCATGTTAGTTGCTATGAAAAGAAGTGAAAATGGGTTGTACGTGGGGTGAGAATGAATAAAAGTGACTGTTTCGAAGTGAGAAGGTATGTATGAATGACAACATGTTGCAGTTACATCAATTAATGTGTCTCTGTATAGCTACATATTAAATTTAGATTGCTTTTAGGTGAACAATCAATACTATTGTGTTAAATCAGTTTTCATTTGTTACAGGTTTGATAATGTTCACAGCTGCTCAATTGATAGTAGGCTGAGTGGGAATAGGCAAGCCAGTGCATTGATAATTGGGAAAAAAAATTAAGCACCAATATCTAGATGCCTCCCGAAAACCATATCAACCGAAAGCCATAATGGCAGACTTAAATCGGAAATTGAGAGTCAATGTGAATTACAAGAAAGCATGGAGAGCTAAGGAAAAGGCTTGACATCAATATCAGGAACTGATAAAGAGTCATACATGAAATTGTCGATTTTATGTCATATGAAGGACGAAAAAACTCAGGATCTATTATATCTCTCAATTCTGATTCTCAGAATAATCAAGAACTTGTTTATGTCATTGGGAGCAAGTAGACAAGGGTGGCTTGCTTGTAGGCCAATACTTAGTGTAGATGGATCATTTTTAAAAGCAAAATATCGTGGGACAATATTTTCTGCATGGGCTCTTGATGCAAACCGACATTTGTTTCCAATAGCATTTGGAGTCTGTGAAAAGGAGAACAAAGAATCATGGTTGTGGTTCTTTACGAAACTTAAAGCATCGATTGGATAAAGAGAAGAAATGTGCTTTGTATCAGATAGAAACGAAGGTCTTATTAGTGATGTGAAAGAGGAATATCCTGGTGCTCATCATGGGTATTGTGTGCAACACATACTTGGAAATATAACTTCAAAGCTAGGTGAGAAAAAGAAAAATATAAAGTTTTTCAATGCTACTGCTAGGTCAGCAACAAGCAGAAAGTATGAATACTTTATGAAGTTACTGGACTCCGAAAACCCAAGGATTCGACAATATCTAGCTGAAATCGATTTTGAAAAATGGGCTAGGTGTAAAATGACAAGAAGGAGGTACTCAATAGTGACATCCAATAATGCAGAGTCCCTCAATAATGTTGATGTCACTGCTAGGGAGCACCCGATATCCATTTTGGTTGAGTTTATGAGGCTAAAATTGCAAACATGGTTTCATGACAGAAGAAAAGAAGCCACAGGAAATGCAGCAACTTTATCCCCAGAAGCGGAAGCTGTGTTGTAAATTTGCTAAGAGATTCTGCTGGCATGATTGTGAGTAAAACTTTATTAATAGGGTGTATATAATAATTTGGAAAAGGTATATGTTTAAAAAAGGTATAAAAGCTTATAATATTGATCTTTTGAATTCCAGTTACATTGTTTTTATGTCAGTGAAGTGTATTGTGATTTATTATTGTTAAAATTATATTTCATTCATATATAATCAGTTATATGATTGTTTTGTATTTATTACAGGTAAGACCAAGCACTATTTTTAAGTATGAAATGATAGATCAAAGGTGTAGGGCATTTGTGGTTGGCCTTGAGTCCAGAGAATGTACTTGTAAAGAGTTTCAATTAGAGGACTTCGTGTGTGCTCATGCAGTGACATCCATTAGGTCAAGGAGTGGATTATCTTGCTATGACCACATTTCAACATATTACAAGAATAACACATGGTTGAAAGCTTATGCAGGAGTCATAGAACCACTAGTAGGTGAGTATTGTGAAGTAGATGTCCCTAGTGAAGTAAGAAATCAGATTATTTACCCACAAATATCAAAGAAATGGTGAGCTGGAAGACCAAAGAATATAAGGATTCCTTCGATTGGTGAGTTTGTTAGACGGTAAAGGTATGGAAGATGTAAACAAAATGGACACAATCAAAAGACATGCAACAACCCGATACCACGTCACTAAGGATCGAGATGATAATGATATGTTCAATGTTATATGTAGTTACTATTTTAATGAATAAATGAATTCCTTCAATTGGTGAGTTAGTTAGACGGCAAAGGTGTGGAAGATGTAAACAAAATGGACACAATCAAAAGACGTGCAACAACCCGATACCACGTCCTATCACGGTTAATTCAGTGTTCAACAAATCAGGCTGCCATCTAAGGATGGCTAAGGAAAACGGGGGCTCCATTCTAGTCCCCAAATGCCCACTCAATTTCAATCTCAACTATTTTCTCACATCATTTTCTAATTTTGTTGGATTATCACATCTAGAGCAGGAGGAATCAATGCATATGGAGCATGTGACTTCGGCAGACACTGAAGAAATCACCATCTCCAAACTCATTTTTAATTTTGAGGTTCATAGAGCCTACGACGAGAAGCAGCAACCCATCTCCTTTGAGAAACAATCTCACCCTATGGTTACCAGAAGTCAATGACGAAGTCATAAAATAGATAACTTCACAGAAGGATTGATAACTAAAAGTCAATAAAAAATGCTCCAAGATGATGAAGACTATTACATCTACCCGGATTACTCAAACTATGATTCACCTCAAAAGCTAGTATCCGGACTTGATTGCTATAAGTCAGCACACCCAGATGCAAAGTCGTACCCTCCTTATCTCCAACGGGCTATCCATTTTCACCATAAATACATTTGGGTGCTCTCAACCGTTGTAGGTGTGCCTACAACGAATGTTATTTGTTAACTCTTTCTCTTGTGACTTTATCTTGTACTTTCCTTTATCGAACTTTGTACTTGTAATCCTTTTCTTAATAAATTGGAAACTGTTCCCCGGTGCTTTCCCCACTTTCAGTGGCATTTCCGAAAAAAAAAACTATTTTAATGAACTATGTGTACTTCACAGTATCTCTGTGTGTGATGTGTCTCTTGGAACAGAATTGATTTGAACTTCAATTGTTTTTAAAGTGATAATAAATTGAGTTTGTCATTGGTAAAATGTGAAATTGTAAGTGTGTGTGCAGATATATATGAATGGCAGCCACAACTAATAAACTAGAAGATGCAAGCATCTGGTGAAGTTAACAAACCAGAATTTCCATTAAGATATCAGTGAAACAATATCCTTTGAATGGGTACACATTGAGATAACCTTGAATGAGTCCATATTAAAATGTAATTAGTGATGCAATATCTTGCTGTTCCATAATTTGAGTATTGTATGTTATTGTATTAAAAATTGCACTCATTATATATACATGATTTGAGCCTTTGAGTGTTAAAAATAATGAGTTTGTCATTGAGAAAGACCTCTCACTACCATTGTTTGTCACTGCAAAAAGTGTCACTAGTAGTTATAAGACTTTGTCACTATCATTGTTCTAATTGGAATAATGTGTCACTAGTAGTATTACTTATATGTCACTGCAAAACGTGTGAGTATAAGTATTAACATTATGTCACTTACCACTTGTGTCACTGCAATACGTGGCACTGTAAGTATCAACACCATGTCACTGACAAGTTTGTCACTGCATCATGTGTCACTATTACTATTTTGACATTGTGAGTGATACAAAATTGAATTGTTTTCTTTTATGTTTGAAAGTAAAAAATATAAAGTATATTGTTCTTAACATGTTCATTTTTTGTATAATTATTAGCCTAATAGGCTCAATACGAGGGTAAAGTTGAATATTTTTGAATGAGTTGTGTTATACTTATATATATGGTGTATTTTTATTGTCGAAAGGGATATATAGCAGCATAATAATGGTGTCATTGTGAAGAAAATAAACAGCACAAAGAATTACACAGTCACAAAAAGAAGAACTATTCAAAGTAGTTATCAATACCATTAAACCAAAATCACTATTCAAGAGTAGTTATGAATTACATAAGTACCACACATCAACATGAATCCAGAAAGTCACAAAAAGATGTTAAGTTTTAACTACTACAAGTTTGTAGAACATATTTAATATTCAATCCAAACAAACTTAAACAACAGACGAATGTGTAACTATAGCTTTTCCCATTGAAGTGCCATGAACATAAAGGTCATGAGCCCACGTTGCTCGATAAGAAGGGACTTTGTCGGGGCACACAAGCTGGATATCCATGTCCATTTGAAGTACTCCAGCCATCTTCATCACCAAAAGCCCACAATCTCCTCTGTTTTTTGAGTTGAAAAAGGTCAAAACAGTTAAATTAGATAATATGCCGCTGACCCATTGGTCTGTTGTGGGATGCCACGGACCATTCTAATAGTGGCAGAACAAACAACACCGTATACACATCCATGAGCACAAGACCGCATGTGAGACAAGATGAGAGGAAGATAGTGAATAAGACCACGCATTTCAGTACGCATTGATTTTGGAATGGATGCGCGTCTGTTGTTGGTATCGTACACAAACAGAGTGTTTGCAATAACATCTAGAACAACTAGAACCCAATGTTTGGAATCAAGATTAAACGGAAAGTAGATGTAGTCACATTCATACCACGAGCGTAAGTATTGAGTTTCATCGCCTCCCATCACATCAATCACATATTGATCTTTGGTTGCTTTTGATACATCACCTGAACCGGACTTGTACGTATCATAAAGGGCATTAAGATGACTTGGAAAGTAAGTGCAGGAAGTAGAAATTTTTTGGGGAAACTAATGTAGCATCTTTCAGGCAGAGACAAAAATCAATGCTCTGGATATGCTGAAATAGTAGAAATACAGTTAGTATAACAGAAGAAATAGAGTAGAAATAAATTTACAAATACATTGGGATATACAGTTACATACTGCGGCATCAAGCCATTGACCAGGTTCATGTAACCGATAGAGCCAAGATTTTCTCTCTACTTCCAATCCACAGTCCAAATCCAGATGAAAATTTTCATCAATTTCCGGTGTGTACTCAGTCACTGTACATAAAGACCGATGACCTCTAATAACTCCTTCCATAAGTTCATTAGAAAAATTAATTGTTTTAGACTTGGATTGAACTCAGCAAAGGGATCACGACTGAATGGACAGATAGCTTGGACAGAACGTCCCTTCTTCTTAGCTTTGCAAAAAGCATCAGAACCTGGAGTGTAACGTATTGGGGAATGCACCTTGCATTTTGGCCTGCCTTGTTCTTGTATATCATCAAAGCAAATATTTGCATTAGTCTTGCAAGGGGAAACTTGTACAATAGAGTTAAATAAGTATAAGTATTTGTACAATTAATTAAATAAGAAAGCCGCAAATCACATGCTAAATAGAATAAAGAAAGCACATGTTAATGATTAAGCATGTAAACTAGTGAAATACTATGTACGTTACAATAATAGGACCTGGATGTTTAGGGAGGCATCTGACAGGGCTTGAGGTGGTAAAGAAGATGGGTATCTGACAGGGCTTAAGGTGGTAAAGAAGATGCCAGATTAACGGTAGGCAAGACTTGCGGATACAGAAGAAAAGAAAAATCAAACGTCTCCAAAGATGTCACTGAGTAAATTGATAAAAAAAAGTGACAAAGAGAACTTACTTATGGATCATAGAGTTCAAACGCATCAATCATTACCCGCGTCAAACCAACATCGATGGTGTCATCAACATTCACTTTGTTTGCCACATAACCCTCAATTATTTCACCATTAGTAACATCCAACACTGCATCTCGAAAAGGAACATCAATATTGTGCTTCTCTATGTCATTGGGAGGTTCAATTGCAGAAGGGTGAGCTTGATGAGAGTCAACATGAGCTGTGGTAAACGATTGCGGAGACCCTTTTCCAGGATGAGATACTTTGGACTTTGAAGCTTCAAGAAGTGTTTTGAGATTATCAATGACAATCTGTTGATCTTTGAACTTCTCATGAAATCCTAATATCTCATTTCTTAACTTTTGAACTTCTTCCTCAAGCACCATAATGCTAGCTTCAAAATTTGTTGCTTGACCTGAACTTGCAGCTTGAGTAGTTTGAGGAGCAGAATCAGAGAAGTGGGTTGGGGCATCAGGACCTTTTGTAGTATCAGCTAGTAAAGGGGTAAATCTGTCTTCAGATTGATGAGAAGGTTTTACACGCCTTTTTTTCTTCAATGGCACTGGTTTTGGAGGGTTGTCAATCTCACGAACATTGTCAGAGTGTGAAATGGGAGTGAAAAGAAACTGAAAAACAAGAAGGAAAGTGTAAATATATTAAACAAGATTTTGAAAATAACAACAAAAAGAAGAAGAGAATAAATGAAAACCCTACTTTGTTGTTGCAAAAGATTGCATCCTTCAAGGATTCACTGGATGGCTTTGGAGTGGAGGACCATTTCAGGATACTTGGTTGAGAACAAGGATCTATTAGACGAGCTAGATCCATAACTTTAAGAGCCAGGAATGACTTAAAAGCCCACACTTGTAATGCAATGACACAACCATAAACATTGTAATGGGAAGGATTAGATTCAATGCTCTTTAAAGAAGCCTTGAAATAACCTACCATGTCATCCCAAATGACTCTGCCTCATGGGTAAGAATTAAAAGCAGCTAGATCATCTACAAGGTTAAGGTATGTGGAATGGATTGAAACCTGGCCTTCGGAGCCAAAAAAGCATAGGACAAAGCCCATAATCATTATCATGCATTATAGAGACATTTTCATCATAAGGAAAGCCCATAATGTGCGAGAAATCGGAAACAGAAAATGAGATGATCCTACCCTCGATTTCAAACGACAAAGCGTTCTGAATGTTGCTTACCTCAACCATGTTCCCTAAAAGATAATGATTAAAAATTGACCACAACATGACATATTAAAAAGAAAAAGATGAATTCCATATACATAATATTGGAATAATGTAGGTAGTGGTATTTTACCAACATAAAATAAGCAAACAAAAGAGTCCATACACATTTTGACTTGTGTGGCAATGATAAATGCGAAGATGAGCGTTTTGCTGAACTTGGACTAGGGGATAATCTAGCATCACTGTCAGCCATATGAAAAATATATCAAATGAGGTACATAATACACTAACAGAACCATAAGCAGCAAAAGCATCGAAATTAAGAGCAAAATGATGAGTACATATAAATAAACAGGAGCTACCACAAGCACAGTATAACATGCAATAGTCCAATTTACAGTTGAAAACCGTCGATCCATAAATGCAATCAATACAATAGGAGAAGAGAAGTAATCTTACAAGATTGAAAGAAAAAATACTACAGAGCGCAGGTAAAACATAATGTCAAACAAATATGAAGAGAAAAATGGAAAAAAGAAGAGAAATATGCTAAAGGATTACGAAAGTGAAATTGGAGTGTGGAAACAAGATACAATGAGTACAATGTTGGTGAACGAAAACGGAAACTAACGAGATAAAATCGACATCGTACCTCAAGTAATGAGCCGGGTAGGAACAGAGGTGTTGAACGAAGTTGAGAAGTTGAATTCGAAATAGACGAGTAGAAACACGGCGAATGTAGACGGGGAAGAACAAAATGGTGTCGCATATCAAGCAATCGAATCGCCAACTTCCATTGTTAATCGGCAATCAAGAGCTCGAAGAAAGTCTCTGAAAATGTGCAGAATGTGCAGAGACGATTAATTCTTTTTGAAAAGGTGGGTCAGTGGGTTGGTAACCCGCAATGAAGTTGTTTTGTATTTGTGAATAACGATTGAACAAGTTTTAAAAATAGAGTTAAGTCATATTTTTGGAAAATAGAATATTGATCATATTTGTGTCTTGAGAAAGCCCAATGGTAATTTTGGTGCCATTTTTTCTATCTTTTGTGCAGAATTTCACCTTTAAGCTTTGATCTTGAGGCTACACTGAAATTAGCTAGATATTTGTGCCGGTAATCCC